ACCTTAAGCTTGTATTCTCCTGGATTTCGGTGGGTCAACACCCCATTCTTTATATGAAATTATTTTGCGTATTTGGAATTTAGAATAGGCAATTGTATTAGTATTCTATTTATAAAAATGGACCAAAGTTATTAATCCTGTTTCAAGAATAATGGTTTCATACCATTCTTTATTCTTTTCTCCATTATTAAGATGTAGATGATTTCTCAAATATGTTGCAGCTATTTCATAGGGATCTTTATTCTTGTGGTCATCTTCTATTATGATAATAGTTATGATAGAAGTTTCTATAAATTTGCTCTTTTCTCCAGGTGTATTTACGGCTATCAGTTTTGGTTCAAGAGAAAGCGTGATTTCTTGAGCTTGTTTTCTGATCAATTTTGTTGGGGTTATTGGTGATGATGATGATGCTAAGGTTTTACTTGGAATAGGGACTATCTCCATAGTTCCCTTTTTTAATAGATTCCTGACTGTCAATTTTCACAGTGCAGAGACCATTTTCAGGGAGTCTGATTTGGGACCAAGATACAGACTTAGGTATGACAGTATTAGATTTTTGTATATTAGTTTGAAAGAACACTGTCTTTCCCTTAGTATCCATTTGCAGTACATTAGGGCATAGTAATAGATTGACACTAAAAGTCGTCGAGACCCGAACTACCAGTAGGTCAGGAAGAGCCGTGAAAGGTATAGGGACTGTTTCCGATTGACTCAGTGATCAAAATATTATTCAAAATAGAAAATTTCCTTAGAACACTATCCACTTGGACTGCCTCTTCTTTTAGTGCACTGCGTGTAAGAAATAAAGAAGAGGTAATTATAAACAATATAGAAAAACAGATCCAAAACTGGAATATCCCTTAAGTCCCAGCTTCTGATGTTTATAGAAAAGGGACATTTGAGTTCAAAACTAGTTTTTCTATTAAAACTGTAGAACAAAGTATCTCTATCACATATGAGCAGAATAGTTTCCAACTTCTTTCTAACTGCATGATACAAGATCATAAGAATAAAAATTATAAATATTTGCATATAGGACTTGTTCAAGTCACTATAAAACCACTTACTAGAATAGGTTTAAATAGTTAAGTTCTACTCTGTTTAAGAGATGGACATAATAAGTTTTCTGATTCTCTTTTAGGAATAGTAGAATCAAGTCTCTGCAATGGTCCAATATATTTTAATTATTTTCCAAATTTTTCAGTAGCCTTAACTGATCCCAATCTCTTAAAAGTCCTTTCCTTAAACCTAAAAACCCAAGGATTTGACATGGATTCGAGATCTCAGATATAAAAATTTTTCTTTATTAGAGATTTTTTCTTTTCTATTATTGATTTCTCGAATTTTTGGCTTTTCAATGAAATTGAAATTTACATCATGTCCTTCAATATTAGCTTCAATTCCAGTACTATCAATTTTTATTTGATATAGCATATTTAAAAATGGAGTTCCTAGGATTACAGATTGGCTTAATCCTTTAACCATAAGGAAAGGGAATTCAAAGCAGTTACCATTATTACAGACTGCAGCATCAGAAAGTTTATAGTTTATAATCATTTTACTGTCATATGCCGTATTTAAGACTTGTGTCGTCTTACTAAAATATTTAGTAGGGACAAGCCCTTAATTTATACAATTTAAATCTGCTCCTGAATCTATTAGAGCAGGAGTTTGAAAACTATATTCTTTTTGGACGACTATTTTTATTGTGGTGAACCATTTTTTAGTGATTACTCTATCAAGGAAGCTAACATAATCACAATCTTGTATTGCATTCATATCAGAAGATTCTAGTTCATCAATTACCTTAGAAAGAGTATTTTCTACCTTGGGGGGCAGAAGATTTTTATAATTTTTTATCATATCATTGAATTCTATTTCATCATCAGTAGGTTCATTAATAGGGTTATCTTCTAGAGGGTTAGAAACTAATTCTATAATCTGGACTCTATTTTTTAAACTTATTAGTTCATTACGAACCTCATTTTTCTCATGTCTTAGTTCAGAAAGAGAAAGCTCTTTATAATAATTCTTTTTGTTCTCTACTCTTCTAAGGATATCAGCAAAACTATAGTCTTCTCTAGTACGTACGAGAGGAGTAGAAGGTTTATCATTTGTCTTAGCTATATTTATATATTGGACTAAAGCTTCTCGCTTAGTTTTAAGATCAGTTATTTTATCAATTAAGTCTATAATTAGATTCCCTTCTTTAGTAAAGGTATTAAAAAAGCATGTAGTATCAAGATTATCATTATTATAATCAGAGTCTGAACTACTAAAGATTAATTCTTCATCCCTAACTTTTACTTCCTTCGTTTAGTCATTTTCCCTATAATCTAGAATACGGTAAGGAAACTTTACTAGTAAGATTACCTCTTCAACTTTAGTTAATAAAATT